TGAGTTTAAGCCACCAGATTTGGGACTTGAACTGTGATCAACTACATGGGAGTTCAGCAACATAGCCATTATGCCAACTGCTGGTCCCAAGAATTTTTTTCTTTTTAATAAAGGCTGAGTAATGTTCATTTGTATGTCTGGCCACATTCTGCTTATCCATTCATGTGTCGATGGACACCTGGGTAACCCGCCACAGTGAGTAATGTTGCTGTGAGCATCGGTGTACACATTACCTCGACTCTGCTTTCAGATCCTTTGGTGGTACCCAGAATGGAATTGCCAAATCATGCAGTCATTTTTTTAAAGAATTATTTATTTAATTTATTTACTATTATTTTAAAATTTGCAATAGGATACGTGCAGAGAGAGAGAGAGAGAGAGAGAAGTAAGAAAGCAAGTACCCAGGTCAGAGACTGGAATCACGGCTGGCCATGTGGGTATCCAGCACCTTAACCAGCATGCCACCTGCTAGAACCACAGTAATTACGTATTGGGCATGTGTGCTCACTGGAGAGAGACAGACATGGTCGGCCATGTTGGATCCAGCCATCTTAACCTCCATACCATCTGCTGGCCAAGTGCATTTTCCATTTAACAATTTTTTTTAGATTTGTGCCATAAGGCACATGTGCTTGCAAGAGAGACAGAGAGAAAGTGAGAAATCACCCCCCAGGGGTAATGACCACACTGCAGTTTCTTCGCCTCCATTCTCCTCGTGGGATTTTGGGCATCCACACAAACGCCTGGAGTGATTTTCAAACCACTGGGTCTGGGACTCGAACTGTGATCAGCCATATGGGAATCTAGTGCCTTAACTACCATGCCACCTACTGGCCCTGATTTAATGATATTTTGAATTTATTAGGACTTTAGTCAAGGAGTATTTGTACCTTATAGTTTATGCACATAGAAGAGTTTATGTGTAGGGTGCTGCTTGCATACCATAGTGTGTTCTAGACGATCAGACTGTCAGTGCAAGCTCTGCGCCTGTTCTCCTCAGCGGTGTGTCCTAGTGCACACACACAGCGCAAGCCTTTGGTACACGACGTCTTATGCACATCGTGGCTCTGGCACACAGCCATCGGTTCACCTAGATACCTAAGCATACCTTTTTAAAAAATTGGTTTTTTTTAATTTAACTTTATCCATTTATTTATTTTAATTTGATCAAGGAGGGATAGAGGGAGAGAGAGAGAGAGAGAGAGTGAGAAACCAAGTCCAGGACTCGAACTGCAGTCGGCTATGTGGGAGTCCAGCGCCCTTAGCCACCATGCCACCTGCTGGTCTTGGTTTACCTAAATACTTGAGCATACCGTTTTCCTTCTTTTTATCAGGAAACCATCAATACAGGCCCTTTTGTGATGCGTTCCACGTGTCGGAGATGTGGCGGCCGCGGCTCTATCATAACGTCGCCATGCGTGGTCTGCAGAGGAGCAGGACAGGCCAAGCAGAAGAAGCGGGTGGTGATCCCTGTGCCTGCAGGTGGGCTCTTGGCCCCTCTGCCAGGGCCGCAGCGCCGTGCGATTTGGTCATTAGGAGAAGCTGTGGTTGAGGCCTTGGGGCCCCAGATTAGAGGAGGAACTTGAACCTTTGTCCTTTTTGCATGTCACATTGGGGAGAAGAAACCTGCTGTGCCACTCTGCTCCTGCCGGGTGAGGGAGCAGCTCTGTCCCCTCTGTCTTCAGTCAGCAGGACTAGCATCCTCCCCACTGCCATGCTGGGCTGTCCCCACCCTCGGGCAGCCTCTCACTGCTCAACTTACCCAATTAGCTCTTGTTCCTGTTGGAGCTGGGGGTTGGGTCTTCCCACAGGGCAACTGAATCATGTCACCTGCTTTCAGGAGCTCTTGGGGAGTCAAGATGGGACCTCCTTCCTCAGTGCTCGCTCACCTCTTCAGCCAGCCCTCTAACTAGGCTCTCTGTGGCCTGCCCTCAACCTTCCAGCCCCATTTTAGCTCTGTGAACAGGCCCAACTCTTTCAGAAGCAGGACCTCTGCACAGGCTGTCCTGCCTGAAACCCCCGCCCCTTTCCTTCTACACAGACTCCATCAGCCTCACTTCCCCAGGGGAGTCTTTTTTTTCCACATTGCTAGAGGGCGCCAGAGAGAGAAAGCATTCCCCAATGGGGCGTGATCATGCAGCAAGCCTTTTTCTTCCAGCCTGGCTGCACAGACACCCACCATGTTTCCAAGCGATGGGCTGGGGTTTGAGCTGCAGGCAGCCGTGTGGGATCTTACGAACTGTGCCGGCCCTCTGGGGACCTTCCTCGGGAGTCTGGTCTTTTCTTTTTCTTTCATCCAGATTTTTGCCATAGGGCACGTGTGCTTGCCAGAGAGACGAACTGTGAGAAATTGCCCCCGCAGTAGGGATGACCATGGCATGTGGATGGCCCTTCTCTCGCTGTAGGGATTTTGGGCATGCACACACATGTACCAGACATGTTTTACAAGTCACCGGTCCTAGGCTGGAGTCATAGTCGGGCATGTGGCATCCAGAGCCTTAACTCCCATGCCATCTGCTGGCCCATGGTCTTTCAGGTGACATGACTCAGATAGAATCCGGTGGCAGTCTTGTTTGTAACTACTCCTGTATTAGTGTTATTATGTGATCAGTACCTGTCTCCCTGCTAGAGGCAGGAAGGCAATCAACCTGAAGCCCAGAGGCCACTGGTGTGATGCGGTCACTGCGCCCTGCTCCTTCGGAAAGTCACCCTTGCTGCCATCTTGAATAGCTGCGTTGCTTCTCATTAACAAGCAGCA